ACAGAATGTAGTTAGTGTAATATGGATTATTTATGTGCTCGAAATGTTTAGGTGCTGTATTTTCCTACTTCCCAGTCAACAATTAAATGTTAAGCAGTACATTTAATTATGGGAATTTTGTGCTTATTAATCTTTACTGATGTTCTTGTATTCCCACTTGAGAATACTGGACATGTGGTTAAAACACTAAGTAGTTAGAGTCTGGTTAGATGGATGGTACTTCCTGCAGTGTTTCTGTGATTTAGTGGAGCACGTTGCTGTTTCAGTGATCTGTTGTACTGCCATAGAACATGTTTGTTTTCTAGGTCCAACTATACTTTCACTTTCTAAGGGAACAGTTTCTCATACATCTATCTCTGTTACCTACTTCATTATTTACTGCTTGGAGGGGGACTAATTGTGGTTTCTGTTTTTCACTATCATCCATAATTTGATACTTTGATTACTTTTTTCCTTTTTCATTTTCTACTCTTGCTTTTTTTCCTTCCCTATTTTTTCTCTTTTCATTTTCTTCATGTTTTTGTTTGGATTATCATTTTCTTCTTACTAAAAGGTTTACCAAAGGGTTTTTCTTCTATATGCATTTCTGATGGTGCTGAATTCTATTAGGATTCCTCTGTGTGAAAATGTCTATTTTTTTCTTCATTTTAAAAACTATTTTTGCTCAATAAGAAGTTGAAAATTGGTAGTTTCTCTTTTAGAATTTAAAAAACAGTATGCTAGCCAAGCTGTGCTGGCACAGACCTGTAATCCCAGTGCAGGACTGAAGCAGGTAGATGGAGAGTGTTAGGTGTGCCTGTGCTGGATGACCTAATCAGTCTGCCAATCAAACAGTATTTAAAGATGGTACTCCACTGTCTTCTGACTTACTTCTAGTGAACAATCTGCAGTGATTGTAATCCTTAGTTGTCTATTTGTATCTTTCTCTCTTTGGCTACTACTGAAGACTAAAACTTTTTGTTTTATCATGATAAATTTTCATTGTATGGTTTGATTATGGCATAATTTTCTTCATGACTCCAGTGCTTAGAAGTTGTTGTGTTCATTTGTAGTTTTTATTAAGTTGTTTTTTGTTTTTTTGGGGGGATTTTTGGTCCTTCGAATGTTTTCTGTGTTTTCTTCCATGGGACTCAATTACATATATACAAAGCTGCCCTGAGGATCTCCCTCTGTTTACTAATTGACTATTCTGTTTTCCCTCTGCATATTTTGTTAAATGGGTTTGACCTACTGTGTCTCCCTGTTCTGACTTAGAATGCTGGTTGCTTTTCTACCTTCTTCTGAAGGCATGGCATTTGATTATATTTCATTGTCCACTAGTGAATTCTGACATCTACATAATTTTTATTAATAGAACATTTCTGTTGATTATTGGAGTTTTTCCTACACATTATATTTACTCTTATCTTACTTCTCCTTTGCATAGTTGATTTTTTTTTTTGTCCTTGGTAGTTTTGTTGTGTTGTCTTACATATAATAAATACTAAATAATAGTACTTACGTTAACATTCTTGAGGTTCCCTGGGAGTGGAGTTAAATTACTTAGGGGGTATCTGATCCTTGTGAGATCTTTCTCTTGTCTCTGCCTCTCCCTTTTTCCTTTAAAATATACATACATACATACATACATACAGAGAGAGAGAGAGAGAGAGAGAGAGAGAGAGAGAGAGAGAGAGAGAGAGAGAAACAATAGCTTTTAGGTGGAGCCAGTTTTCTTCAACTACTAAACTAGAGATTTTCTGAGTACTTTACTCGTCCCTCAAATTACAGTGTTTTCCTGCTTTGGCTTTTAAGAACAGTAATGATGTGTATTTCAGTGGAGCCTTTAGGATCAGTTTCTTGGTTCTCAGGTGTCCGCCCCCCCCCCCCCCAACATACACACACTTGATGGCTTCTTCTCATGCTTGCTGGTCAGTAAGTTCTGCACTGAAGACATGTGGCCCTTCTGCAGTTCTCCTGAGCTGCTTCCCTGTGCAGCCTCTTCCTGTCTAGCTGTCTAGTCTGCTTGCTCTGGGTCCTGTGGACTGAACTCTACCTACCAAACTCCCTCTTCTTCTGTTACAGTCGGAAAACTCAAGTCAGTCAGTAAGTCAGTCAGTCAGTCAGTTATTGGGTGACACACCTGAGAACTATTGTTAATATATTTTCCCTCTCCATTTTGTTTTGAGACAGGGTCTTACTCTATGGCTCAAGCAGGCCTTGAACTACCAATCTGTTTGCCTATTTTATCCATTTTTAAGTTATCTTAGGAGAAGAGATTCTTACTGCTAGCCCATCTTGGTTGGACCAGAAGTTTTAAGGTATCATTCTTTGAAATGATAAATTATTTGAGGAGATAGATGGATCATTCTGAATAATGAGAAGATTTTGTGTTATTACTTGCATGTGGCTTAGATGCTTTCTGTTGTAAAAGACACTATGTAATATGCAACACAAAGCTATCACACCAGATCTGAGCACATACAAAATATCATCTGGAAAGAAACATAATACAGATCAATAAATAAATTCTAAATTGTCATGCTCTGACCTGTAACCTAAAGCAAAAAATCAAACCATTTCCTTTGAATTCATTTACTCCTTTTTTTTTTCTAGTAGCTAATACACCCATAAATGCTTATTATTCATTCTCCTACTTGAAGTTATAATTTTTAATGAAAATCTGATGTTTTCTCAAAGAAAAAATGTAAAGGCCATATGTGTGACCAATATTTGGCACATTAAGTTTTAAAACTTTTCTGCTAAGATAAAAAGCACTGTGATAATTCTCTAAATATGTGATGGGTAGAATAAGAGCCTTGAATTTGAAGAACCTTGAATTCTTCTTATGTCCTGTTAGGCTGATTATACAGTCATTGACAGTGCTCAAATTAAGAGTATGATCCTCTGAAGACTTAGTTTGTAAAAGCATCTAATTTAACAAATGTAGAAGGAACACAGGAACAGCAAATTACAGTAGACTTATTACAAGTAATAAGTGCTGCAGCAGTGTCTGTATGCATGCTATCATTAGTTGCTAATCTTTCTCTACTATGTTGTTGTCATCATTATGTATGTATGTTTTTAATATTTGAAGTTATAATTCAAAGTAAAAGCTGAAAAACTATATGAGAGTGCCTCTCTTCCTGTCTGCCCCAAATAAAATTGCAGTTTACTCTTTATTAACACCTCAACGTTTGTTTGTTTTTAATGCAAAACCACCATCATATGCAAATAAAGCACTTATTTATCAATGTAGTAACTTCCCTATCTCATCCAGCATGAAACATCATTATTTTAAAAGGCAGAAGTAATTCACAGTAGGGAAAACTGGCAGATGTACCAACTTAACCAAGTTCAAGGCTAGCACCACCTGGAATAAATATAGCACCATACACTCTCATATATTGGAAATACATGAAGTACATGTAATGAACTTTTTGAAAGGCTTTTGTGGTGATACAGCTTTCAAATACATAATTTCAATCTGGTTATGAAAAACATTCAAACCAAAATTAAGACATTCTCCAGTGTATATGGCATGATGTCCTGAAAGACGGAAGATTGGATAAAGTCTCCGATTAAAAAGATTTAAATTTAAGTAGTTAGAAATGATTCATTAAATTAATTAGAGAAATGATTAAACAACTAAAGTAGGGAAAGCTGGATCTATCTGGAGGATCTAACAAGAAACAAAACCTGGAAAGTCCCTGATATATGTGAGGAACAGCAGCAAGGAGGCAGTGTCACAGGAACACAGTATGAGAGGAGGAAAGTGGTAGCAAAGGATAGGTGACTGAGGCAAGGAGCCCTGAGTGGTATTGCAGGAGAAACCCCTTTCCTTTGTCTCTACTGCCTTTTATTTGCAACGCTCCTCTACTCTAGAGAGAGAGAGTTATTAAACTGTAGAAAATTCTAAAGCGTGGTATGTATTATCTGTCACTTGGCATAGTAGACACTGAATAAACAGTTGCTAAATTAATTAATGGGACCAAATATTTAGATGCATTTTTAACTGTCTTCCCCTATTGAAAGAATACTGTATGTTTTTAACTGCACTATACCACATTTCAGGATACTGATATAGCTATATGTATTTTTAAATACGAGAATTTAAAAATATCATAGTCTTCAGCGATACCCATTTTACTGAATATTGTTTTGAGATAGCGTAAATGTAATAGAATGCATTTATCTCTAAATCTTTTAGCTCTTAAATTATTAACTAAGTACTCACATTTGTGAATAGGAGTAGGGCCTAGGAGGTGGGGTGTAGTTCAGTGATAAAGCACTTGTCTAGCCTGTGCAAAACTCTGAGGTCAGTCTCTAGCACTGCCTTTTCCCCAAAGTGAGGAAATTTAATATTTTATTTAGCAGTCTCATCTCCCATCATCAGATTGTTTAAATATCTTTTAAAAGGCACATTCCCAGGCTGTTGTCAGACTCACAGTGACCCCCTAACTAAGCCTCTCAAGTGTTGGGATTACAGGTGTGCCACCTCACCCACCTTAAAAATCTTAAAGTTTTATCTTTTGATTTGATTAAAGTGAATCTCTGATGACAGGTCTTTTTTTTTAAATCTATATAGAACACTTGAATTAATTTCTTCCCAAGGAATATACTTAAACCAAAAGTTCTCATTTTAAAAAGTTCACTGATCCAGTTTTAGGAGTGATAGCTGTGTAATCCAACTTCCCCTTCTGTTGATGGATGGTGTTAACATGATGCGAGTATAGAGTTAAGGTTTGAGTGCCCAGGAGAACAAGAGGGTGTAAGGAGTGCTAGGCAGCATATTTGAACATACTTACCTAACATGTTTTCATGAAGCCCAGGTAAGCCCTATCTTCTGGAAAAGTGTACAAGATTCTTCAGAGCTTTGCCCTTTTGGTTGTTTTAATTAGTATTTTCAAGCAGTCTGAAAGATGATTCTGGGGTTGGGTAATATGAAGAGATAAACAGGAGTCATAATGTTGAAACTGGACATTCAGATCTTTATAGCATGATTTCCTTATTTTTCAAAGAGCAGAAGAATCACATCGTTTATCATGTTCTGGTTGGACTCCTTTCTTATCGTTTGCTGGAGTTTGAACTTCAGAGCTATGGTGTCAACCCTGCTGTAATATCTCAGGGGAGCTCCTAGTGTGGGGCTGGTGCCATGGCTCACCCTCCAACCTTTCCTTCTTCACTTCAGCCTCCAGCTCTGAGCTTTCCAATTCCCAGAGTAGCAAATGTTGAAAGAAGTTGCACAGGTAAGTATATGGCGGGAAAGCTGGGGTTAACGATGGTGTTATCATCAGTATTTTGAGGGTGGATGGGGCCATCTTGCCAGTGAGTCATTTTGTTAGTTTAGAAATGTGTGTGTGTGTGTGTGTGTGTGTGTGTGTGTGTGTGTGTGTGTTGTGTGTGTGTTGTGTGTGTGTGTTTTCTTCATAAAGCTTATCATGTAAATTACTAGTCTAGTGTTCAGAAAAGAAAACATATGTTCAGAAAAGGAAGCTAAGAAAAAAGAAAGGCAAATTCATGGACCACATTTGCCCTATGAGTCTGAGGAAATGGCAGGTTTTAAGCCTCCGCTAGCTTTAAGTGTGCTTTCTTCTTTCCTGAGGTTTCAAGCAAGGTAACGAGAGAAATTCAGACATGTTTGACAGGAGGGCTGGGACATTCTGCCCTTCTGTGTTTGCCGTGAACAGAAACACGTAGGATGCAAAGGCATGTTATCTCCACACAGTTCAGCCAATGCTTTTGAAAAGTATCTATTCCCTGTAAACCGTATTATGTGATGTGTAGATTCTTGAGCCCACAGCAAGATGTTTGAAATTAAACAGAGGAAAAACAAATTCTTGATACGACCTAATATAGGTAGCATTTTTCCAGTGTGTCTGTGAGTCTTAGATGATTGGAATATGAAGTATTTTGTTGGCATTACGTATCTTCAAAATGCAAAATTTTTCAGTGGTTTGTCTCTCTCTTCAGTCTAAAGTTTTAATTTTCTGAGGGCCATGTAGAAATGCATACCCCTCAGCAAAGTGTCAGACCATTTTCCCCTGGTCCTTTTGAGAAATGTCTTCAAATACTTGCAACAGGACATTTCTTGGTTGCTTAAACGGTGGTTTTGTATACTGAATGAACTCAGGGGCTTCTCTGCAGTTACCTTGTCTTTCCGTGGCTGTTTTCTGTTTTATACTCTGTATTTAGTGAGGAAGCACTGCTCAGCTTAGGCTCTCCTGTGTGTGCTCTTAATTGAGCTGCTTACAGTGCTGACTATAGTTGATTCTGCAGTGCATAGATGATCCACTAACATACATCTATCTTTAATAATAATCACTTTGTGGTTTTTAAAATTTTTAAATTCAAAAATAAGTGTATCTTTAGTGGATACATGCCCTTCCTCCCATAGATTAGCATTATTGGATGATTAGAGCTTTGGTTTTTATAATGGTATTTTCTTTTAAAGTATTTTATGTTTGATGAGTTGGATTATGACCTATATAAGGCTCACTGATAACTAGAAATGAAAAAAAAATTAAAAACCACAAAATCAGTTTATTCACACGAGCAGAACCAAATCCTAGGAGGAGGCCCTTGGGCCAGTGCTTTCCAGAGCAGGGAGCACACACACACTGCACCGTGGGGCTGTGACTGTGGCATCACTGCTTGGGAATACCATCCATACAGATGCTTCAGGTCACCAGATTTCAAGTTCAGGACTTGGGCATGTTGTCTGTATTTCACTTTTGCTTCCAGACTCTAGACATCCTGTTTTCCTATATTAGTTATTCAAAAATACGCAAACTCTTTCTGTAACCCTTGGAAAGGACTGTTAAGACATGTTCTCAAAAGTGCTAAGGCCAGGTGTGTGTCCCGGCCCTAGGTTTTCAGCAGAGCCCATTCCCACCCAGTTTCCTGTGCATCTCCCTTGCCATCTGCATCGTTCAGTTAGCCCATTGTTGCTTCCTTACTGAACATTTCACATTTACTAAAGCTATGTATGGCATGGCTTGCTTTGATTTCTCAGCTATTCATTTGCATCAGAAATTCAAACTAATTTTTGGCTGACATTTAGGAGGGTTCTCAAGAATTAAATAATATTAGAACTATTTGTAATAATGGGGAATCAGAATAGCTGGTTGAGAATTTCAACATATTCCCTAAACAAAGTCTCTTAGAATATATCACATAGTTTTAATGTCCTAGAATAGGCAGGCCTGTAGTAAGACTTCATTTGGCAGGCTCCTCATGAGTAGTTTCAGATGCTAATTGAGAACTAATTGAGTACTACTTGGTAAAGTTAGGTAGCAATTACTCACAGTTGGTTGTTGTTTTTATTCCTTTTCCCTGCTTGGGCAGACAAGAGAGAACTTACATGTTTGTGGAGTATATTGAACTAAGAAGGCAAATTAAGGTAAATTCTGTATTAGCAGTTGAAGTAACTTTCCAGCGTGCTCATTAAACACTAAGAAAGGGACAGCTTTTCCAATATCTCGGGCCCTGTGTGACTTGCACTTAGCACCCTTTTCCTAGACTATGAGTGTCAGTGCCAACTGCATGGCTAGGAGTAAAACATTGAAACATGATAATGCGGTTTGTGTGGTGGTAGTGCTTTCTGTTTGTCCGGTGTTTCTTTTCTGTTTTTTTTTTTTTTTTTTTTTTTTTTTTTTTTGGGGGGGGGGTCGGTTCGTGAGAAAGCCTCTCTTTATTGGTGGGCCCAAGCTGTCCTTCCTCAGCTTCTCCTTGCTGGCACTGTAAGAGCAAGCCTCAGTAGCCAACTCAGATGCCTTTAATTACTAATTGATTTTATGTTGAGTACCTGCATCAGCACATTAGCAGGAAAACCCCATACTACTATATATAGAGAGGGAGGGAATCCACAAGAAAAGGGTGTCATAGTGGATTTATCCCACTTTCTAGATGTGTGTTACAGAGTCATACAGTGTTTGGATTATTAGCTTCAGTAGAATTTACTCTAGAAAGTACTTTAATATGTCAGTTCATTTGGGATGTAGAAAATTGGTATATATTAAGTTTTGTGTATATTTCTACTTGAAGTTCTCCTTGGGTAATATTTTTCCATTTTCGTTTCCTTCCACTTCCCTTTCCTTCCCTCTCCTCTCTTCCCATCCCCTCCTCTCCTTTCTCCCCTCTCTCCTCAGTCCCAAGTGCTAGGTATCAGTCAGACTAGGGCCTTGCTAATCATCAATCCTACATCTGAATGCCGGCTTCACCCCAATGGTTGTTCTATTTTGGCTTTTTAGTCAAAAGAAAAAAAAAGGAGGGGGGGCTTCCTTCTTTTGCCTCCTGAAATTGGGTGTACACCCAGGAGCCAGGAGCGATTAAAAAAAATCCATGTTATAGAGACTGTTGTCTCAGTGTATAATCAGCCCGTTGTCTTCTGAAGTCATTTTCTGAAATAATATTTTTTGGTTGTAGTGCACCATACTTCCTATGTTGTTCATCACAAAATAAGGACCTTTTTGTCGATGATGATGTTGACTCTTACACCCTTTGTGTTCTATGAAGAAAACACAGTAAAATGGAAGTTGCATTTATGCTTGACTGTGGGTCTACCATGGTGTCTAAAAGGGAAGGAAACCTTACTTACTAGCTCAGGATCAGAGCCTGTCTCTGTACCTATCAGTTGTATAGACTTGAGCAGGTGACCTAACTTCTGGTCCTTTTTTCCAGATACAGAATAGGGGATATTAACTGTTTGTTAGCATCATAGCATTATAATGATGGCATGGTGTTTGTTTTAGATGGGGCCTCAATGTGTATCCTCAGCTGTCAAGGAACTTGTCATATACACCAGGCTGGCCTCAGATTCAAGGCCAGCTTTGGCTACATGAAGGTTGTCTTGAAAACAACAACTCTGGTTTTGTCTCAAGTGCTGGGATTAAAGGCTTGCACCACCTGGCTTTGCCAGATACAGGGCTGATAAAAGTGTCATTTTACAATTACGGTTACAATAAAGTGCTTTCTCTCACTGATTAAGAAGAGCAGGCACCCTAATTTGGCATTAAAATTTCCAAGAAGAGCAAGCAGTGAGCATTGTAGAGACAGCAGCTGTACAAAAGGCCCTGAGATAGAAAGGAATTTGAGCACCTGAAGGTGTTTCAGGAGTTTGACGGTAGGAGGGAGGATCTTGTGAGGAGAGGTCAGGAAGATGGGTTACATAGGGTCTTTAAGCCTATTTATCTGGGCAGGTGGGCTAAGAAGTTTGCTCAGCAGATAGATCCATGAACACAAACTGTCACTTGAATTGCTTGGATGGAGGAAAGAAGATTTGAGGATAGTGAAGGGAACAGGTTGGTAATCCCAGTTTAGATGCTGTTGGAGGGCCTGTGCTGGTAATTGACAGTGGAGGTAGAAGGCTACTGATGTAGATACTCCAGTAAATATTCAGGACTTAATTAGCTGGGACTAGTTGTTGAGGTCACACAGGTTACAGTGCATTGGGTGCTAAAGTGGCTTACTTTACCCAGCCTAGAGGTTTGTACTCTTGTTCCTTTGCCTGTACTCTGCCCTGTTAACCTAGCACTTTCCTTCCATAGCCTGCTGTGTTGTTTGGTTAGGAGTTTGGGGCTTTTCAGGTGAGGGGTGGTGGTGGTTCTATTTGAGACATCCTTCAAGTAGCCAAAGCTGGCCTTGAGGAGTTCCAGAACTTCCCACTTCTACCTCCCAGTGCTGGGATTATGTATGCTGAAACACTTGGATGTGTTGAAAGTTTCATTGTTTCCAGGTTTTTCTCACTGTTGAGCCTTTCATATATATATGTTTTGTCTTGATCCAAATTTGTTCTTCCCCTACTTTTTTTGTTTGATCAAGTTTTTACCCAAACATTGCATTGATTTTTCCTTAGACAGGTTAGCTGATCTTGTATTTGAATTTGCAAATTTGTCTTTAATCAGATTGTCAGCTTGTTGAAGACTAGAGCTTTTATTCAAGCTTTGTCATTATTCAGCACAGCTTTTCTCAGGATTCATGTATCGAACTTTCTAGAATGCAAACTAAGATACATGTAAGAAGGAACAAAAGCAGAGAGTCAGAAAAGTGGCACTTGCTGGATGTATGGAGCAGGTAGGTGGGAAAGCACATAAGTTTTAAGTGTGTCTTCATTGATGAAATTACACTTTGGGAGTAGAAATGCCTGGCAGTGCTTTAAATGTGTTGCTGGAAACTTAGTTGTGATGTGAGAAAGGTTTTGAAACCATTGTGTATTTGTTACCAGGAAAGGACCCCTTTCATGGAAAGGATGTTTCAGGCTCTACGCCCAAGTCCAGCATTTGCTAGCATTCTAGGTCTCAGAGAAGATTGGCATCTGGGGATTTCGAGTGTTAGTGTTCATTGGATATAGACATAGTCTGTCCTACTTTTCCTGTTTTCCTGCCCTTGCTTATTCTGTGTAAAGCCACATGCATGTTTTCTAGTTAAAGTTACAAAGTTAGAATACTTTGTTTTATTTCCCTGTTCATTAAAAAAAAAACTTAAAGCCTTGCCCCATTTCTCCATCACAGTCCTCCTTAGACATCTTGTATGAAATTGTTGGTTTGATCATCTAAACAGGAGAGTTTTGAAATCTGTCATTATTCAGACTTAATGAACTTGGCTTTGAATTGGTGTACTTAAATGCCAAGAATACAGGATTTGTATTGGGCATTGTGCCTTCATAAGTCATAAAATAGTATAGTTGTAATTGAAACCAGCTTAGCACTTCCATTCTGCCCCAGCATAGTTCTCTGTACTCTCTGTACTACTTTGTGAGACAAAATATTTCTTTTTGAAGAATGAGATTGGTTGAGAAGATGTAGTATAAGCTAACTTATCTGAGTGCTTTAAAAAATATGTAGCTTCTTGTGGAGTCAAATTCTCCTTTTGGTATAGAGCATTGTTCCTAGGGCTATGTTTGTGCTTCTTGTTCCTATAATCTGGTATGAGAATCAAGGAGAGTCAGTTAATTTACATCATAAGCCCCTGATCAAAGATTGTATCAGTCATTTTTTCTGATTTTAAAGAAGAAATTTTACTTAATTTAAACTTTTAATTATTTACAAAATTGGCTTTCATTTATATGATGTAGCCAGGAATTTCATTATAATACTGACATATGTACTTCTTCATTGACAGAATATGATTTCTAGATTCCCTTTATTCTTTGCAGGAAAAAATGTAAATAGCTTTTTTTAATGCCACACCCACCCACCCATCCATATCTGCTCTTGTTCAGAGTATATCCTTTATCCATCACTTTACTCACCAGATCTGCTGTCTTTGTAGTCTTAAACCACCATCCTTTATTTCCACCTTCCTAACTTTTTCCTGCTTCTAACCTGTTTTTCACAGTATAACTTAGGATCATTTATAGACATATATGGTAAACTAATATCACTCTGTGAACTTCCCCCAACTACCACTAGCTCTTGACTTCTTTTCATCTCATATGGATAAAACCCAAAGGCCTGCAGGCCTATCTATAAAGTTGTATTTGATATCTTTGACTTAAATCCTCACACTCATCACTGAATGCAAACTATGATGAATCAGTGATACCACTGAGAGATTTTTCTCTCTCTCAAATGAGCGCTCTTCCTACGACTATTGCCCAGTTACTTGTTTTATTTTCCTTCCTTGTTTTCTTTCCATCTTTATTATCCCTACTCATTTTAAACATCTTCTTATCCTGGTCCCTTATTATTTATAGAACAAAGACCCATTCTTTAAATTTAATTTAGCTTTAAGGAAAAATAGTAACATCTTTCCCCTTTCAATTTTGCTGTGGATCAGAAGTATGTTGTCTCTTATCTAACCCTGTCAGGGTTCACCTTTGGGAACAGTGACTATTGTTATTTTGCTGTTACTGAAGTCATGTCAGAATGATTGGTATTCTCATTAATATGTAATTTCCCCGCTTCTTCTCTTTTCTCTTGCCCCACTTCTCTCCCTCTATGCCCAACCCCCACACTCAGTAAGAAAATACAGTAGAGGACAGCATTTCTATGTTTTTATGAGAAGCATTTCATTTGCATGGTATTAAATAAGGTGATTTATTCCATATAATTAATTTCAATTTCTAGATTTTAGGAATCTAGAACTGGTTTTAATGATCTATTATGTAAATATTTATTTAAAGAAAAGTTTATTTTGTATCATTTTGAGTTGTTTCATGTGTGTAAATGTAATGGGAGATGACTGGATATTGAACTATGTATGGTACGTGCTTTTACCCATGCTAGTAGTCTTTCTTAGAATTAGAACCAACTGCAAAGGTCCTGTACAGAAAATTAAGTATATTCTTAGTTTGCAAGACAAATTCAAATCTCAAATGTACCGGATCTAAATTTTTTCCAACTGTTTATTTTCTGAAATTAAGCCCAGGAAAGGGTGTTTTGTTTTGTATGCCCCTGTATTAGAGAGTACTTAGAAAGTATTTAGGAACCTGGTGGATAGGTGTGGTCCTTCTGTGAAATTACTTAGCTTTTGTTTGAAGAGAATAACCTTAGTTATAGTAAGACATTAAATTTGATTTGAGTGTACTTAGAAAAATGTAGTTATGTCATTCAAGTCTCTGTAAATCTCTGATGACATTGGCATTTCTGTTTACTCTAAACTTCAGAGTATTGGCAGGATCGAGAAGACATAATGGCCTTAAATGACTCATTGCCAGATTAAGTGACACCTTCTTGTAATACCAGAGCTCTGAGGTAGAAATATTGGGAATCCAAGGCCAGTCAGGCTACATAATAAGAACCTATTTAAAAAATATGAAAACTTCATGTTGGCCAGCTGATAGTTTTGGGAACTTAAATGTTAGGTTAGATTTTACTAGTTTGGGTGTAAGGTTATAATTGTTAATGTTTTTATAAAAAGTTTAGAAGCAAAAGAATAAGAGGTCAACAAAATGTCACATTTATACCAAAGTGATGTTTATCCTGTTATATATGTAGGTAGTTGTGACTTGGCATAAAATTCCAGAATGCCTTTCCATGATTAATAAAAAATGCTGTACCACCATAAGCCTTGTTGCTCTTAAACAGTTTTAAAAGTAGATATGTATCGACAGACACTGATGTTGCAATGTATGTGAAGATTAAAACTTTAAAGAAACCTGTTTTTGGAAAAGTTATATTTGGAACTATGGTTTTTCAAGAATAAGTGATTTAGTTCCATAAAAGTTAGCAGAATTCTTTCCTTCTTGTTTTGGGGTGGCAAATGATACTGTATAGTCAGATTTGTATCTTTATCATGTGTCCCATCACTCTTAGTTAATCTGTTTCAGGATCATAGCAATTTCCATAGGGGTAAAATAAAGCCGGATTTTTCTAAAATACTATTCTTGATAAAAGTAATATTTTTGTTTAGGTGACAAACAGCATGTTTGGTGCTTCAAGAAAGAAGTTTGTAGAGGGGGTGGACAGCGACTACCATGATGAAAACATGTACTACAGCCAATCTTCTATGTTCCCACATCGGTCAGAGAAAGATGTAAGTTCATCAGTTACACTGTGTTTCCTCAGCAGCGTGTGCCTGTATCTAGATCCCTGAAGAGACGCACATGAACGCCAGAGGACTGTCTGTGCTTTAGTGACTGTGCTAAGCATAGGTGTAGGCCCTGGGGACACACAGATAAAAGACCTGCTTGTAATGGGAAACATTAGTGTTCTGTGATGATTACGCTGAGATACAATAATGTTGTTATAGGAAGTACTCAGAGGCATGGCATAAATGACAGTACTTTGAGGAAATCTGGGGGTTTTGGTTCGTGGAAAGTATTCTTTATAAGAAAGCAAGTGTACCTACAAAGCTAAGCAAGCACATTTGTACAGATTTCGAGACACGTAAACTAGCAAGTTTTGGTAAACTCTGTCTTTACTGTGTAGTCCTGGATGTAAAACTAGCCTGCAAGTACAGAACTTCCTCCTCTCCTCAGCTGCAGATGCTACAGAGGAAAGTCTTTGCTGCTGTGTAGATTACATAGTATAGAGAAGGCTATTAGACCAGTAGTCCCATTCCACAGGAAAGGTGACACATTGATAGGATATTTTAAAATAAGTTCATCTGTTTAGATCATTTTTAGTTTGTGTATTTTAGTCAAAGCAGTTATACGCTGATCCTCTGTATCCATTCAGCTTCTTTTTTCCTTTCCCTAATTTCCTTAGCAGTACTCTCAGTTCTGTTTTGTATTTAAAACATATAACAAGTCTGTTTTTTATTTAAAGCTGATTATTACTAGTTCATTTCTGATTTTTAGAAGGTCACAAATTGGCTCAGCCTAGGTTCACATTAGAATTTTGGTTATCCCATTTCCCTAGTGTCAACACCTTTCTTCATTATTTTTATTTGAAAATTTTGTTGTTTTAAAAACCAATCATCAACTTTCCCTCCAGGTTGTATGTGGTGGCTATGTTTTTTTGTTTTGTTTTGTTTTTTGTCAGTGTGCCCTTTAATACCATATGGATTAATGTCACCTAATTTTTAATGTTTCTTGACTATCAAGCTATTTGTTATTCCATGTGAATTATGTTGAATTACTATTCACACATGTGTCTGATTTAAACGTTGGCTTTGTAGATTAAAAAAATCAGGAGTGTAATTCACTGGTAAAGCAATCGCCTAATATGAGCAAAGCCTTGGGTTCAGTCACTTTGGTGTAACATTTGTTATTTTCATTGCAGAAACTTTAAAACTGTGACTGGGGATATGCAAAGCCATGCTTGATAGAAAGATGAGAATGAGAATGTGTGAAGATTTAAACAGAAATCCGAAATTGAGTTTATGTAGACAATGAATTAACAAAGAAATGTCTGCTAGGGCCAGAAAATTGCTTGAGGTTAAGAGCATGGAGAGAGGACTCCTAGCAGTCACATGGCAGCTCTCAACAGTCTTAACTCCTGTTCCAGGCAATCCAATGCCCTCTGTTAACCTCCTTGGCACTGCATGCCAGTGGTGTACAGACATACATGCAGTCAAACTCCTATACCCATAAAAATAAGAATGTTTTCCCTCATGAAACTTAGATGCTAAATTAAGAAGTAGTAAAATAGGCAGACAAAGAACTTGAACTCAGAAGCAATGCAAATATGCTTGTGTCCTGACTCCTGTGAGCACGAATGTCTTAAAGCCTTCCTTTCCTCACCTGTAAAGTGGTGATAACAATATAATAGGTGCCAAAGATTGCTATTACTGTTCCTTTTTTCTTATTACAAATAGTACAGGCAGACTATGTAAATTCCAAAAGTATAGATGTACATCAGAAAAAACTCAAGTCTTTATAGGACTAATTCACTGCTGGGACTTTAATTTTATACTTTAGATATTTTCATCAAATTCTTACAGTGATTTAAGTTTCTGAAACATGGTGGCATTTTCCATCAGAAAGTGTGTGAGAACTTTAGTGTCATTAGCGTTCCTCATGCCTTTAAGAATACCAGCTCATAAGTCTTGGCAATAGTCCAAGGAAGTTTATTGTTTGACATATAAGCTACCTTTTTCACTGCTGTGACAGAATGCCCAAGGAGAAGTAATGTAAGGGAGGTTTTATTGTGACTCACAATTTAGGGGGGTGCATTCTGTTATGGCAGGGAGGATGTAGCAGCAGGAGCCAATGGGGTGAGAGTAGGGGTTGGCAGCTGATGGCAGCAATCCACAATCAGGAAGTAAGCAGAGTGAACAGGAAGTGGGACTTGGCTATAATACCTGCTCCCAGTGACTTACTTCCTCTAGCAAGGTTCCTACACAGTGCCATCAGTTGAAGACCAAGGGCTCAAACACATGGACCTATGGCAAAACAATGAACATATATTAAAGTGTCTCTAAATGTAAACATATAAACTTATACACACAGAGTGATATGTCTTTTCTATATGGCTTCTAACAGTCTGTAGTTTTGTATTACTTATGTTTGTGCTTTCTCATATAAGAGAATGCTACATAACTGTAATGTAAAAATCACTTGGTCATGCATCCTACAAAATAAGCAGTGTGATGGATTCTTTTGCTCATAGATGATAATTTGCTTATGAGTTTTAAAATATTTACTAATGGCTTAGTGAAATGGTCCCCTTAGTGTATAAAAGTTTCCAAAGTTTGAGTTGCTTTGGCTTTGTAGAACGTTTTAACTAGCATCTTGGATAAAGTCTTCTGCATCCTTTCTTACTAAGCATATGTCTGTATTTAGTGTACAGTAGTACTGACCCAACACCAATATTGACTTCCTTTCAGAAGGATGACTCGAAACATATCTCAGGAGTGGAATGTTGCTCTTTTCAGGCTTCTGGGGGTGGTGATGGCAGGGACGTGTTCCTGGAGGGAGTGTGTTTATGTGCTTACTTGTGGAGACCAGAGGTTACCCCAGTTACCTCTGCATATCCCCAGTTACAAGGAGCCATCACCTTGTATTTTGAGAAAGTGTCCCTCACCTGGTACGTGGGTTACAGATTAGACAGGGCTGGCTGGCCAGCAAGACTCCTCCCCTACCCACCAGAGCAGTGGGATCACAAGGGTGTTCACCATACCCTGCTTTTCACATGCCTACCTGTAGGTTTGTGCCACAAGTATTTTACCACCTGACTGTCTCTGTTACTGAAGGGCTTTATCATTGACATTTTTCATGCAGGTTTAAGTTACTCTTCACTGTTAACACATATTGTGAATTTGTTAATAATTACCTGCTTTTTATGAAGTGTTTTTAATCGCCTTGGTTACCGAATGTGAGCTGTAGAAACCCTAATATGAGTTTAAACTTCAGCTACATGGTTTGTGAGCTGTGTCAAGACAGAGTAAGCCATCTGTGTGCACCTCCGTTTCTCATCTGGAACATAGGAACAGTAATATGTAACTATTCCCACTGCCTCCTCAATTCTCTGGATTTCAAAACTCCATAGTATTTGGGCCACGGAAATGACTCAACTGAGTTTGGACACGTGGTGGACAGAGAAAATTGACCTCCCACAAATTGTCCTTAGACCTCCATCTGGGAGATATGGGGTGTATACAGACAGCCACACACATACGTGTACACACAAAATAAATAATAAAGACAAAATTTTGAAAACTATTAGAAAAAATACATAGCATTTATCACTGCCTGTAAGTACCTGGTTATTGTTTAATCCATTAGACTTTAAACTTAGCAGGGGTAAGGATTTTGTCTTTCTAGTTAGAGCCATATTTAGAACCAGTAGTAGTTAGGAAATAATATACTCTGTGTTTGTTAAAGAGGAGAGTAAATACAGTTGAAAATTACATTTGTTGGCAGATAGAATGTTAAAAATATTTAAAAGCGTCTTACAAACTTTAATAAAGAATATGGTCTGGGTGTGTAGGTCAGGTTTTTGGCTTCCTCGTTTTTAAAGACTGGGTCATTGTGTACCTCTTACTGGTTTAGAACTCAGTGTGCAAGTGTAAATAAAGCAGAATATATTCAAAAGTAGTTGGAATTAATTGTCAGGTCATTTCTAGAATTTTAAAAATTTGATTAGCAATTGGGTTATCTTCAAACTGTTTTCACGTTAAAATGTAAAATGGAGAGAAAGTGATACATCTGTAAAGCATCTATTTTCATTATCTACAAGATAATTATAAAATGTTTCATCATCTAATTAGCTTGTAGGTTAAGTATTTCTTAATCCAAAATACTCCAGATTAGAAGTACCCAAAGCACCAAATATCCCACACAGTTCTAAAACTTTACACATCATGACTGTGGATTTTTCACATTTTCAAGTTTTGGGTGTCTTTTGTGGAGGAGCAGCTTATTGAAAGATAATGCAATTCTGTAGGAACAAGGTTGGTGTGTGTATACGCACACACATGTATGTGGTTTTAAAAGTATGTTTGAGGTTGAAAAGCAGTGTTTTGATAGATCATTTGGGTGATTGTGTCTAAGTGTCCTTGCTATGGACTAGTGCCTGTGAAGAGCCCTTGGAGTATAAACATCGCTATAACCAGTCCTGTGTCTTTCTGTAACTATGCACTTTAGCACTATCCAGGGATTCAGATATATATGGCATCCTTTTTTCTTTGTAGTAAAAGCATTTTAATCTTAGGTGTGTAGTATTGAGAGATTCATTATTTTACCATTTTAAAAGTTATTTATGTAAACTTATTTTACTGTATCCTCTTTTATTCCTCATAGTCTTTGTTTATGTCCTTTGCTTGTGTTTTAGATTTCATTTGCATTATTTTTTAAACCATTGATTTTTAAATTTTTCTTTAAGTATGTTTGTACACTTACATGAATATGTTTTCGTCCTTGGTCTCTCATTTTTTGTGTAGATAAGACAATCAAAATCTAACAATTTTTTCCCAAAATAAAGTAGAGTAATTCTCACCATCCATTTAAGTAAATTAGATCAAACTTTAAAGGGTAATTTTAAACTTATTTCTTTTTAATATTTGTTAGAGATATTTTAGAAATTTAATTTCATCACCAAACTGTGTTTAATATTTTGTAAGTTAGATTTAATGATAGGTCTATTTATTGGAGCCGGTAAGCGCAAAAAGTCATCACCATTAGGAAGCATACAGGAGATGGAAGACTTACTGCTGTAGATTGTTACTGGTCACAAATGTCACTTGTATCTACTGTTATTGAAGGTAATGTTTAGGATGTAGTTCTGGAACTTCCACCTTGGGAGCTGAGTCTGAGGTCAGCCTGAATTGCACAGTTTCAGACCAACAACCAAAGTTCTAATGTGTTGATATCTATTAGGAAGAGGTAAAGAAGCCATTTAACAACTTTGGAAAATAAATAAGGCTTTATTATTTCTTCTGGTTGCTCCTACAAGTTTTATTGGCTTCAGTGTAAAGTCCTTGAGAGATGAAGACATTGCATAGTATAATTTTAAACTGGGAATGTGATATGCTACTTGATAGTTTCATCATTCTACAGATAACATTTTGTCTTTTTGCGCCTTTTTCCCATCTTTGAGACTGTGAAGCTGCAATGGCATTCTTCAGTGTAATCTGTTTCTTGGTCTAAAATCTTAGTTTTTCTGAGAAATTAGTTTTTTAAAAGATTTATTATTTATTATTATTATGTTTAAAGATTTACATACAGTGTTGTGCCTGCATGTATACCTGCAGGCCAGAAGAGGGCACTGGATCTCATTATAGATGGTTGTGAGCCACCATGTGGCTGCTGGGAATTGACCTCAGGACCTCAGGAATACTCTTAATCTCTGAGCCATCTCGCCAGCCTGAGAAATTCGTTTTTTATGATTAGCTTTTAGCACTTAAATGTATAAATTTCTTGTGGTATTTTAATGGTGCTTTGCCAGGGCATATTTCTAATTTTCAGTAGGCTGTAATGTTGTTGAGATGAGTGCAGAAATGAGAGTCACAGAATCTCTACTTTTGTTTTGTGCTCTTCACACTTACTTCCTCCAGTGCTCAGGGCCTAGCACACATGGAAGTTAGTTGTGTGTTTCTGGCCTTTGTGAGAAAGCACACTAAAATGTCTGTTCTTCGGCATCCAGTTTTCAGTCAGCATATGTTTTCAGAAGATGTTAAGTTGGCTGGCCATTGTCTTACATGGGAAACCTTCAAAAGCAATTCTACACTCCACTGTATAGCTAACAATGCTAACAAAGTCATGATTTTTAACTATTTTATGTAGAACTTTTTTCACCAACTATAGGTTTATTAAAAAATTACATCTCTCATTCAATTAATCTTTCATGCTGCTTGGAAATGAATGTTTAATAAATACTATGTGTATAAAATATTTATGGTTAATATGGTAACAGTGATGGCTATAGTCCCTAACAAAAGAATTTGATTGACTATGTTTTAACCTATTTTATTGACTGATAAAGGCTATATAGTTTTAGTGTTAATATAATTGTCTAGAATATACACCTTGGCTGTAAGAAAGAGTATGTGTGTGTTTTAGACACACACACACACACACACACACACACACACACACACACATGTATACATACATACATAATATTTCTTTAGGAAATATCTATGGATGATTTTAGAGTGGTGTATAATCCACCCCTCTCTCTGCAGGACCTGCTGTGCAGCAGTTGACTTAAAATACTCATCATATGTAGTTTGTAAACTTAGGAGTAAGTGTACCATGTCTCTGCCTAATGTTGTTTAAGTTTTCCTCCTCTGGATCCATAGTGCTTCCATGTCCTCTGTGGCTCTCCACTCAGCAAACCCCTTTATTTATGCTCCAGCTACACCAAGATAAAAGAGTGACTTCTGTAACTAGAATGCCTTGTTTATTCTACTTTACCATCTTTCTAGTTCCATCCATTTCTTTATTAATCAATCACCTTTCTAAAGCACCTATTTTGTTCTTGCCATTTTCTTGTTTAATACTCTTTTTTTTTTTCTTATTGTTATAGTTGGCAGCCATCTTTGTTTGACATTAAGGAAGACCCTTTGGAGTCTTATCCCCAACACTATTTTATTTCCCATTTGTCTCCTTTCCTATTCACTGTTACCTAGTCACCACTATTTCTTACCATGCTTTTTTATTATGACATTGACCTTACATTAACTGCATATTATTGGCCTAAGAGATGTCTCTTGTCTAGCTTCATTTGTGTTACTCACTGCAGAAACGGACTGACTTCCTCATCTTTGGGCAGAGTGGTCTTTTCCCAGTGATGTTGTGCTTTTGCTGTAGCGTTTGCTGTACCACCTTGGAATGTAACTGCATAATTTTCTCTCTTTTCCCTCGAGGTTATATGCCTCTTGTTGCATGGCCCATATTTTGTTTAAAATGTTCAATGGTTGTATAAGATGGCATATTGAAACAAAGGCTTGCTTGTCCTCATTTATTCACCTTAAATGTCTGTCTTGTAAATGGCACTCCTGCATTTCTGTCTGTGAAGAAATAAAAAAAAGAAGCAGTGTGTTCTGTGAATGTAATATGCCTTAAAATTCATATTCTTCCGGGTGTGGTTGCTCACGCCTTTAATCCCAGCACTCGGGAGGCAGAGACAGGTGGATCTCGGTGAGTTCGAGGCCAGCCCAATCTACAAAGCAGATGCCAGGACTGTCATACAGAGAAACCCTGTCTCGAAAAACCACACCAAAAAAGGGAAAAAAAAACTTTACATCCTATTAGTTAAATAAGACATTGTTTTAGTAAATTCAAAGGCATTGTACAGTAAATGCATGGAGTCTGCATCATTCGCCCAGAAACCATAAATTAGTTGCCATGTCTGTGGTTTTGCTTGTATTTTTTGCTGATATTTTCTCTATTTACCTAGCTGTATGAATATGAAAAATCAACAGATATTTTTACAAAGTACATAACTTTTCTATTTTGATTATACGTTGAATTTAAATTTGTTTTAATGCATAGTCTAAACTCAGTGTCACACAGAAATTCACAAAGCTGAGGTTTTAGATTTGTGTTTTCATTAGTAGCCTAGGTGGTTTTTTTTTTGTTTGTTTGTTTTGTTTTTTGTGAAGGAATAGTGCTGTTACACATTAGGTGTAACTTAGAACCTCATAGCATTAATTATTTCTATTTGCACAGTTTGGCATCTTCTGGTTATGGTAGTCTTTGTAAGAAATGTGGCGCGTGGGTTGTCTTACATTTATAGTATGAAGTATTGACTTGTAACTACAATGCTCTGTCTTCCTTTATGCTCTAATGTAATTAATTTGTTTCTAGATGCTGGCATCACCATCTACATCAGGTCAGCTGTCTCAGTTTGGGGCAAGTTTATACGGGCAACAAAGTAAGAATTTTGTACTTATTTTGGGATACTTTAATTCTACCATTGTGGGTTTACTATAGGGCTTAACAGAAGATAGTTAATTTTCAAAGTTTACTTGTAGTAAACATTATTATGTTTGGCCTTAATAATTCTAAATTTGTTATTTCTTGGATACAGCATATGTTGCAATTTACTTTGTCATCATGTATATATGTTCTTTTGCAGTTTCTTGAAAATTTTCTAAAGAATTAAAGGTAGTCATTTTTGTGTTTTCGGTTAGAGAAAGTTACACAGTCGTCCCCGTCCCCCCCCACTTTGGTTGGTTTGGTATATTTAATTTGTTTAGATTTGGACTGTAAGCCCATTTAGCAACAGCTTGTAAAATAGTTTTCATTTAGTAGAAAGTATTTATTTATTTTGCTTTGGTTCTTCATGATTATAACACCTAAATTTTTACTCATAATTCAGGGTTTTTCATTATGTAAGATTTTGTTTTATAAAGTAGTATAATACTTTTAAAGCGCTTAGCACAGTGCCTGGCGCATAGTAAGCGCTCAATAAATGTTAGCTATTACCATCACATAAAATTTTATAAAACTAAAGTATAAAGTATTTTTATTGTTTTTTCAAATTAAATTTTCAAAATGATACATATTAATAAGATTTTATCATCTCTGTTAGTATAAAAAATCTGATTTCTCATTGCTGCTATTAATGGGGGCTGGGATAAAGTGTTACAAGTTACCATCAAACAATAGAGGACAGTATCTAATTATTATCTTGATCAGTTTCAAGTAAAATCAGTTTGGTTTGGAATTGTCCTGTATGAGGAGAAACGAAGTTGCAATAATTAACAGAGCAGTGTGTCTTTCCACTTCACCCTGGGCACTGATTTCAGAGTTTGTGTGGGGAGTAGGTTTGTATAGAACAGCATTGTTTCCTTTTTTTTTGTTGTTGTTTTTTATGGCTTTCCTCTTTTGCTATGAAACAGTTTGCAAACACAGAATTAGTAAATACTAATTTCATACTTAAACAAGAACATATTTTAAACCCTTTTATTAAGACCAGAGTTCCTTATTTATCTACAAATGTTTATTCTACCTGTTGAGGCAGTATTAATAACTAGTAATGTGTTCTTGTTACCTTATATATGTGTGGTTTTGACCCTGTTGGGAAGCCTCCCTGGATGTTTAAAGCTCTCTTCTATTTCAGTACTTCATAGGGCTATTTGCTTCTTAAAGCCCTGTTTATCATAGCAGAAACAAGATATAAAATGGGTAAAACATGCTTGAGAAAGTGAGGTTAATTCGTGATGATGATTAAAATTAGCTCTCTAGACTTTGAAGTTTTTAACCTGCAAATGTGACATTGCTTTGGGGATGGGCTGGTTTGGAAGGTGGTAATGTCTTTGGCATGACAGATATTGACTGATTCCAGCTTTCTTTAACTTGCTTTGTGTAGTGTGAAAGACATACAAAGATTGATGGTTGAACAAATGTATTTTTCTTAGCAAAATATATCTTTAAAGATACTAGCTCTTAAAGAAGCCATGCATGACAAGCATATTTTGTTGAACTTGGATCTATAAAATGTCTATATTTAGTAAAGTTGGTGAAGCAGCATTTTGAATGCATGGCTTATTAGTTTAAACTGATGTTTTAGAAAACAGCCTACTGAAAAAACAAATACTAGGATAACTGTTTCAACTCAGTGTGAAGTTGTTTTCCATGGTACACTATTTGGAATTTACAGTTAGTGACAAAAGACAGCCTAGTTGCCAGTTCCTTTTATGAGAGACCCCAATGGGCCAAATACATCATTTAAGTAGAAGTCTGAACAAACGCATTGTGAAACAAGAGAACACAAACTACATTGAAAGACCTGAGGGGTCACAGTTTCATTTGTGTATGTTAATATGTGAGGAGTTGACTTCAGTGAAGGATAGAGAGATAAAGAATTAATAAAGGACTGGATTAGAGATACTATTCTTGTGGCATTTATTATAATTACACATGGAGACTGATAGAACTTAAAAGTTCTTTTTTCACCTCGGCCTATTAGGTACTACCATTAACTATGTTTATATTTTACAAAGTTCATTAGTGATTTATACTATTCAAATGTAAGCTGTATCTGGGGTTTTGTTGTTTGTTTGTCTATGTGTCTGTGGCTTTGAGACAAAGTCTTATTATACAGCCAGTTTTGTCAAGAACTCAGACGCTCCTGTGTGTGCCTTGGGCACAGAAATCCCGTGGGCTGGGATTTCTGAGGCTTGGTTTTAGCTTTTGGTGCTAGATATTGAGTCTAGGCCTTGTACATGATAGACAAGCACTTTAACCCTGAGCTGTATACTCCCAACTTTTTGCTTTTTCTTTATTTTTTAAAAAAGTTAGAGATAGAGGAAATGAAGAAGGAATATTTTCTGTTCCAGAGCTAAAACTTGGTGAAATTAAACAGCAAGGCAAGAGTCCTCTTGGAATGTACACAGGGTTGCTTGAATCTACATTTTTGCCAGTTTGGGGTAGAAGTGATTATGTGATACGCTCATGAGGTATCCAGAAAATACTGGATTAGAAGATTGTATGATTTCATAGAGTAATATGATTATATCTAAATATATGACTTGACCCGAGGGTTCATGTGGATTTTGCTCAGCAGTTGATAACTATAGCAGCCAGGAAGGCTAGACTGTTCAAGTTGCATGGGGCTCTCTACTTGTCTTCTAAGTGTGACATAAGTTTTGAGTCAATCTTACAGCCTTACTGCCACTGGGCTATGTAAAATGTATACTGATTGAAATGGACAACGCCAGGAATCTGTTTCTCCTGGATCTTTATTGCATTGAAATGAAATATTATCATAGTTGGAGCAGTAAGTATTTACAATCTTGAAAGTAGAGAAAAAGGAAACGTTTTCTAATGTGTATATGATGTATAGGCAGTTAGTTAACTAGCTGTCTCGATTGGATGCATTCTAGACATTTGTGTATGGATTCTGAAAGGTCTCAGACACTAATGGAGGAAAGAAATAAGTCTGGTTTCTGGGTTTGTGAGTGGTGGCGTATTGTATCAGTTCTTCTAATTGATATTCATCTATGAACACAGTTTTCTTCATAGAACAAGAGAGCATAGTTGGTATGGTTACGGATAATATTGACATTGTTAAATACAGAATGGTAGCTTACAGTTGCCTTAAGAATTGAGTTTACCATTTTTGATGGCAGAGATGTGTGTGTGGACGAGACCACTCTCCTTTATGTTGTCTGTATGCTATACATACAGTAGGCACAGCTGTAGTGCTGCTGCAACTCTGTATTGTGTCTCATTGTCTTTGTGTTATTAGTACTTCATTTATGAAGAGCACTCAGGAAATAGTTACTGAATTTATAATGAGGAATACATGAACTAATAGTATATCTTTAGTATATGACAGTGTAGGGAATGGGAAACTTTCTTGTTGTTAATTGGTTTCAGCTAATAAGTATAATTTTCTCTACAGTGTGGAATATACCTCAAAATGTTTTACAACTTTCCAAATTATAGATCAAAGTTGTATCACAAGTTTCCCTGCATAAAATGTCTGTTTTGCAGTGGGAACTGTCATTTCATTAGACTGTCTTCATTTTTCTTCACCATTAAGATTGTTGGCTCCTTCAGTTGTCATGGGCACATTAAAAATAAGGGGGGAAGAAGCTAGTATTTCAGTACTGTGTGTGAATCTTCACAACTCCATGAGATGTTAAAAAAACTTGCAAGGTCGTGTAGATGACAAGTGATGGAGCCAGAATTAAGTTACTTTGTAAGAGTGGTGTTCTGAGTATGAGCTAAGAACAGAGTTTCTGAAGCCTGAAAGCTGAAGTCATGACCCTAGTGAGTCATTTGCATAAAAATTACCAGTGTTCAATTTGCAGATGCCAAGAATCTACTGAGCGTCCACTGAAGACATTGTGATAGGATTTATTCTTTCATCCTGTATTTATTGAGTACTACCCTGAATATGGTTATATTCCAAGAGCTAATCAAGACTATAGCGAATAACAAAGTTCCTACCTTTCACGGTGCTTGCTTTTAATGGGAGGAAACAGAATAAACATGCAAGCAAAGCAGTCCTAGTAACGAGTGGCACAACACTCAGGCAAGCTAATGAGATGAGTTGAAGAGTTCATGTTTTACATGATTCAAGTAAAAAAGACTGCACTATCTTTTAGGAATTTAAGTTGTAAACGTGAATGTGAGGACGGCAGTTCCTAGAATGATCTTGAGGGGACTTTTCGGGTACAGGAATCATGGAAATCTAGTAAGCCACCTAGTGACAAAAGAGCAGCAGGGAAGTCAGCAGTGAAAGAGCGAGTATCTCAGGTCATAGAAAGTCTATAAAAACTTTCTAAGAGTTCAGATAGCACTGGAGAGAAAGAGAACTGGCTAGTCAGAGAGAACCCTCCAGGTTTGTTTCCCAGGTCCCAGGTGGCACATTAAAGCCATCAGTAACTGTGGTTCCAGAGGATCCTGACATCCTCTTCTGGCCTCCTCAGGAACCAGGCACACACATGGTACACAGACATATGAGCAGGCAAAGCATCCATACATGTAAAAAATAAAATTGAAGAAATAAAAAGTCTAGCCCATGGGACGACTCTGCTGCCAAGCCTGATGACCTGAGTGCTTACCCTAGAACTCACTTGTTCGAGGAGAAACATTACAAGTTGCTCTTTGATCTCTACATACATGTGTTTACAAATGCACACAAAATAAATAAATGTGAGATAAAAATAGTAATTTAAATATGTTCTAAATGTACTAGCAAAGTAACTATGACTTTGCTTTGTGGAAAGTGAACTGAACGGGGAAGGAATAAAATGCAAGACTTAACTAGTTTCAGCAAGAAAATAGGAATTGGGCTAGTGAATGAGAAATAGGCAGATTTGGGGTATTTTGGAAATACAGTTTATACAAGTTACTGAGTAAAATTTAGGAAGAGAAAATTACCATATTTATAAGGTTTGAGATCTGTATCATTTTGTGAATGGGTGCTAGTATTCCACACTGGAAATTTAGGTTTAGGAAGAATACAAAGTTTACCTTGGGAAGTTTTTGATGCTGCTCTATGGGAAATGGATGAGGAGCTCCTGCTGTCTGGTGTTCTCTGGTTCATAACAGCTTCTTGTAGCTAGTTTTTAAACCAGTTTGTTCCATCCATATTTCTCATCTGATACATCCCTAGTCTTGGTAAGGCAAGTTCTCCTTCGGGTCTGGAGTGTTTCCTCTTTTTTTTTTTTCCTCCCCCATGTTTTGAGATCTTGTTTCCTAGGCATCCTAAGATCGGATTTACAGGCAGCACCGTTTACCTTGCTCACCTATTGTTATTTTTGTACAGCTTGTCTTCTCAGACTTCATTGTCATGCCACCTGATGTTGCAACACTACTGCCACCATCTTGTCTACCTACTTAAATCATGATCATTATTGCATTCACATTCATACAGACTCCAGGAGATCTTCTCTGATCCCAAGCCTACTAAGTTTTTGTGTTATATATCCCTGTAGTACAAGAGAAGGGAAGGCATTCTTATGAGTGAATGGTATGAATAGTGAACTCATAAGGACAGATTTGAAGACAAAAGGAGGGAATGAAGGAAGATTGTTAATCATAGAGTAAGCAATGAAATGTTAAAGTTAGCTTTCCACTTTGGGGTGCTGGCAGAATTCTAAAGACTAAGTTATGGTTGTACTTAATATTGTAGAATAGTGGTTCCCAAAGCCTTGACTGTCCCTTCTAAAAACACTGGGATGGTTTAGGGTAGAGATTCTACCACCCTGGAATCCCCCAAAGTCAAAGTAAGTCACAGTTTTTAAAAAAGAAACAACAAAGTTAGCAACTACTATACAAAAAAAGCAAAACAAAAAACCCAGCAAGTAATGGTAATTGCAAGGAGACTTTGAAGTAGGAACCAGAAACTGGATTGATGTCTTCCTAGTTTGTTATTTTTTTAAACATTTGCTTAGTATTATTTATGTATGTTTGTATGCCTAGAAGTTTATGTGCACCCATATGTATGAGCCTGTAGAGTCCAGGAGGCATCTCGCTAGTGGAATTGGAGTTCAGGTGGTTGTAAGCCTTCTGATTGTGGGTGCTAAGAACCCAACTTAGGTCCTCTCTAAGATCAGTATGTGATCTTAGCCCTAAGCCATCACTTCAGCTCTGCTGCTGTGATGTTACAAAGTCAGTTTAATGGCTGGATTTAGTTCTTAATGTATAACTTGGTTGATCTCAGAATGGTTCCCCCCCCCCCCGTTTGTAAATTCTTTGGATTTAATGAAGGAGATAGCAGAGTGAAATAATTTTATCTGGAAACTTAATTATCTGCAGGGTAGGTTGTTGGTACAGAAGTCATGGAGATCAAGCTCCACTTCGGACTGTGACTGTTGTTAGTTTGGGCATGGCACTGAACTCCAGAAGTATAGGAGTAGCTTGGGTATATAATGAAAGGGGACTGTTGAGGGCTTCACTCAGGTGCCAGCATCCAGGATTTGGTGCTATAACTAAACTTTTCCCTAGATTATTACTACCATTTATCTCTAGCAAAGAGGCTTCTGTAGATGGAACAACTTATAAGTATTTAAAGTGCTGGTGGTGAAGCTGCTCTTTGAACAGAAACAATTAGTGGAATACTTAACATTTTTATTAGGTGTACTTTTTTTAAAAAATTAGGGCACATGTATGTCATGATGCACATGTGGGGGTCAACTTGCAAAAGTCAGTTCTTTTTTTTTTTTTTCTTGCTACCACTTGGATCCTAGGCTCGGGCTTGGGGACACCTTTACCCAGTGGGCCTGTCACCAAAGCCATGGGATGCTTAAATCACTTTTTCTTAGGATTTTCTGAAAAGGGGTCCATGAAGAATTTAATTCATTATTTGTTTAGTGTCTCTTGTCAAATATGAGGTAGGAATCTATTTAAAATATATATATGGAGTTCTCCTGAAAGAACAAGTTGATTTAGAACTATAACCTTTTAAATTGATTTTGGTCTCTTCATTCTGTGTATGTAAAAATTGGGATTGAAGAATAAATATCTTCCTTATAAAATTGTTGAGGAAAAAGAAGCGATGTTTGTTAGGTCATTGACTTCATTGTAACCTTCTAGACAATCATTCACAAGCTCATGTACACCTATTTTTACCTTTTGTAGTTCTTCCATGCCACCACCAGCAGTCACTTGAGCTTTTCCTTTTGTATGCTCCATTCTTGCCCTGATATTTTAAAGAAGATTTTGTGTAATTATTTATAATTAGAAAATTGTATTTTCTTCCCTCCCCCTTTAAGTCAAAGACCTCAAATATAATAACATAATATATTTTGTTTCCTAAAAATAAATCTCTATGTTTTTATTCAGTGCTATTCTGTTTTAAAGAACTTCCATTTTTAAGGTAAACTTCAAATAACCCTATTAAATATTTAAGAATTGGTAATACGGACTGTAGTATGTATTCTTTTCATCTTTCATAAATATTGCAACAAAATGAATAAATTGTATTAGATTTATTGACTGTGTTTAACCAAGATGAATGTGGAGGCTAAAATTCATGTATGTATTCTTCAGATTGTCTTTCTCCACCACTCATAAATTAATTAGAATTGGCCAGTGTTTAATTGAATAAAAACCCTTACCCATTACTGTTTTCTTGGCCAGATTTTTTGCCAATATTCAAATTATATATAATATTTAAAATAGTTCTAAAGCTAGAAATTTTTCTTACACAGAACAGACAGAAAAATACACATACGGAAAGTTATTGCAGGAAAAAAAAAAGTCTTTGTATTATTTGTAGGGGCTACCGATTTCTTTAAAGAGGCCAAAAAGATACTAAATTTTAGAGGATGTATGACTTCCATTGAGTGGTGAGTATAAGAAAAAATGAAAAGGAAAGGAAAGGTGAAAGTAAAGAGAAAATGGACAAGCATTAAGAAGAGTGAGACTAGGATGGAAGAGGTGAGAGGAGATAGGAAACTTAGGATGGATGGATGCATAGATGATTGATAAATATCCCACAGGTAAAAAGACATCCAAAAGGAGGCTGGAAGAAAAATAGATGAAAGGTGTTATTGGGCACTCACATTGTGAACATGGTTGTTTCTGCCTTGCATAGTACTGCCATTCAAGAACACTAGGAGTTAAAGAGATCCAAATTCTAGCTCTAGTTCTTTGTGTTGCCTTGGAGAAGTCAGTTAACTTAGCTGGGGATCAGATTTCTTATCTGTAAAATGTAGACAGAGCAGGTGATCTTTAAGATCTAAAAGTGTATAACTTTGGAGATGAATAACTGGCAAATACACTCTTGTTGGACATTTTCATCTAGAGCTGACTTTAAGACACTGTTTAGGCGTAGAGATTAAGAGCCTGAGGTTAGGAGCCTTTTCTGTCTTACCCACTGATGTTTCCCAAGCAGTTTATGTACAATTTGCCACCCAGTAGGCACCCAGGCATTGTGTGTTAGGAAAAATACCATTTTAATGGCTTACTATGGGAGCCACTCACAGGACCTATAGGAAAACTATATGATTGAGCGAGGGGCAAAAAAAAGTTTCTTCTGGAGGAATCTTGAGTAGGCTTGATTTTAATCGTCCTTATGTTGTCCTGGATATAGAAAAAAAAATAACAGGATGTAGTATTATTAAGGTCACACAACATTGAATGTCTAGACACAAATAAAATAAGAGTAACAAGCCAATATACACTCTAGTCACTTCCCTTCCCAGTATCTTAGAGAAATTCTGACGTGGTCAGCTATCGGTAGAGTCTCTGTGAACACTTTGTTACAAAGTTGTTGGAGAGAGAGTACCATGTATGTAGTACTCTGTGTGGAAGGGATAGACTAAAAAAGACCCAAAACTGAAACAGTGAGGAAAAATATCTTAAAGCCCTAGCACTAACGTCATTATTTTCTGATCAGTTATGCCTTTTTGCTTTTATTTAGCTTCCGATTTAAAATATGTTGGATTGACCAGTGTATCCATATTCACCAGGCTGAAACAAAGCATTAAAACACATGGGTCAGAAAGGTGTAGGAAAGATGAGGCATTCCTAGATAGGATGGCAGCACAAATGATCCACCACACCTTTGACAGACAAAAGGGAGGAAGATAAACATGTATAGAATATTAACTTTCCATTCTGAATCTCAAAATAATTTATACTTTATACCATCTGAAAATAGTTAATGAATGTGTCAAACATTTAAAAGTAAATTTGTCCAATTTGATTAGTAGTTTTGAATTTTACATCTGAATGGCAAACCTCAGTAGTCTTAAAAATGTATACCCATGTAACACCTATATTCCTCTATCGGCCCCAGATGTGCTAGAGAAATAAATATAGGGTCCTTATACTTTGAATGATTTTTAAATCACTTCAATTTTTTAATCATATCTATATCAATTTTTTTAACAATTGCAAAATTATATGTTGGGTTTGTAAAAATTGTCATGTTAAGAAATATGTATTAATACTAGACTTTATCTAAAATGAATTTACAAAGAATAATATATAATTTAAGATACTATGGCAAAGTGGGAATGATTGTCTTTTCTATATACATTAATTGTAAATTAAAACAAAACACATGAAATTGCAGAATTTCTTAAAGGCATATTTGTATGTGCAAGTTTCACAAATATGCCCTTAATGAATTTGACAACAGTTTGTATTATGTAACATCTCATTTGTTATAATCATTAACATAGTTTATTGTAACATAGTAATATGAAAAATACAAAAAGATACTCAAAATACTAAATTTTAGACTAGAACTTTTGTTGAAAATCAAGAGTCCATTTGCAGTGAGTTATTAGGTCATTTTAAAATGTTTTAGATTGCAAACTCCAGAAGATGGATACCAATTTCATTCCTGATGGCAATGAATTTCCTTCTTCTGAATTTTCTTATTAGGTGCACTAGGCCTTCCAATGAGGGGGATGAGCAACAATACCCCTCAGTTAAATCGCAGCTTATCACAAGGCACTCAGTTACCGAGCCACGTCACGCCAACAACAGGGGTACCAACAATGTCACTTCACACGCCTCCATCTCCAAGCAGGTATTTATTAATGGACCAGAATATTTTCAGATTGTATTTTTGTAGAGTAATCCGAGCTTTAATTTTTTAATACAGTAATTAGTTACTTGATTTTCTGGTTCAGTGCCTTGCACTAAGAAAACAGTTCCTATGCTCATTTTGTTTCATTGCAAAGTGATAAGTATAGTGTAGTGTTTGATCTTGAAGCTATGTGCTAAGATGTTTTATGTATTCAATCAAAGAGAGTGAGTATTAAAAAGAAAACAATAAAATGATCATAAACAACACATATGGCCATGAGGAATCAAAGTTTCAAACATAATGAAGAAGAATGCCGTTTCATGAAATTGTATTTTACAATATGAAAAATTTGATAGGGTCTTCTTTAAATATGATATGTAACCCATTACTATAAACTAAAACTGTGGAATTCAAAATCAATTAGTAGCCATTACTAGAAGTGTTCTATTTACTTGCAAATTGCTTTATTAATTTAAGTCAATAACACCTTTCAAAATACATGAAAATATAAAATGTTACAAGTGAAAAAGTGACATATATTTTCTATGAATAATTTCTCTTAATACATGTTAATATGTAATTCTTCAAAGGGGATGATTATTAAAAAGGAAACAACAAAAAGATGATAAACAACAAACATGCCTATCTGTTCCTTAAAAATTTATGGACTTTAGGAGAGATGGTTTCCAAATTTCCACAATTGCAATGATAATTCTAAAGGACATTTTTTCTTCAGAGTATTAAATATGGATATGTATACAAAACAAATATATAACTACTGAAATTTAGTTAAGCTTAATTACTAGTGAATTATATCATTTCAGATCTTATCAGGTCACATTAAACAAGCAATAATGAACAGAACCCATGGCACAGGGTAATTTTCTTGCTTAGGTATCTAAAATTCTTTGATTAGGGATTTGACACAGAACTGATAGACATGGATACTATCAATTGGGAAACAAAAATTCGGCAGCATTCTTCACTTGTGGTGTGTGGATGCTCAGTACAAAAATGAAGGACTCAGAGGCAAATAACACCAAGTTTGTATTAAATTTGCTCAAGAATATATGTTAACTTGAATTTTCTTGCACTATTTCACCATAAAATTAAATGACACAATAAGGAAGCATTAACTTTTATTGTGACAATACTAAACAACAACAAAAAACAAAACAGAAACTAGCCATAACCTTAGTACCAGGCATAAGAATTGCCACTCAATGTTACTTGTATAAAATAAATATTGTGAACAATGAGAATACTTTGACATTTCTCTGGCCTATCAGTGTCCCTTGAACTTCATGTTATCTTAGACTGATACTAAGATTTCAAGCAGAAAACAGACGAGGCATGTAAAGAGTGAGTATCTTATATTTTCTCAATTATATGGAATGTTTTTGAGAAATCTCCATTTAGAATGATTATTTTGGTTATTTGCATGCTAAAATCATATATTAATATATGATTTTATATCATATATA